CCACCATCCCTCCTCCCACTCTGTCTACAGGCTGCTGCTGTTTTCCAGACCCCTCCACCCATATGTAACATCATGGCATCCTGTGCCTCTCCTCCTGTTGTCATCCCCACCTCAGCCACAGCCCCTTTGATACCCCTCCCTCCCCCGCCCCCAGAACACCTGCTCCTTGTCGCCTCTCGTCTTTTGTCTCTAAAACCTCCTCCAGAGGCTTCTACCACATCTTTTCTGCCACGAGTCACAGAGTTGGTCTTTGTGCTGCTCCTGCTCTTACTGGTTTCAGATTTCCTCAGCTCAGACTCCCCCTGAGCTGTCCTCTCCTCGGTCTCCTCACTTTGTTGTCTTCTTTGGCTTCATTTCGTCTTCATGAAAGGTAGCTATGGTGCTTTTTCATCTGCATGTTCTTATCTTTGGGGCTTTCTTTGTTTGTTTCTTTGGAGTGTAGGATTTAACATTTTTTGCCTGTATTTCTTCCTGTTGTGTAAAGATGTCTCTAAAGGAAGCCTTTCAGACCAGTTGTCCGTGTTTGTAATAAAATGGTTGCTTTGTGGACTTTATCAGTAGCTCTCTTAAAATCTAAGTTTACTTTGAACAAAGTTTTTCTGCATCTTTATCATGCTTCTGACAAGAGTAAACTGATGCTGTAGCTGCCTTTCCCCATCCCTGTTGTGATGAGGCTCTGTGTAAGAACAGGATATTGTCTTTGCTTGTGTGTGTTTAGGGGATGAATTGGGTCATAAGGGGGAACTGCTGTTTGTCTGAGAGGTTTAATAGTATCAGGATTAGCAGGAGATTCTTTGTATGTCCTGTAGAGACGCTGCAATCTGTCTCAGACCCTCGGCCAAACAAAGCTGTTAAATGATAATCCACGTCAGGAGTTGATCTGTTATAATGCTGTCTGCTGGTGTGCTTTGTGTTTATTATCCACTCACACTCTTCACCTGCTGTCAGCTGATCACACAGTGCATTTTATTATCAGCATTCATCTGTCTGCTAGTAAAATGTCTCATGAGCCTCTGGAAAAAATCACTCCATGTAAAGCTGCAGCTAAATTTGAGTCGACCTAGTTCAAAATGGCCACCACAACTAAACAACCTTAAACTATTTAACTAAAATATTTATTTTTGACTTTATCCTCATTTAATTGTTACACTAATCAGAATGCAAATAGGTTTATTTAGCCCCAGTCCTGGACCAGACACAGAACTTTACAAGATCCAGCAGGACAACTTGATTAGAGGGAACTATTTCTCTCATACTCTAGTTCAAATGAATATTTCTACTCATCAGTTTTTTCATATTCTATTCTCATGTTATATTATTTTCATATCATGTTATCTTGTTTCATTTTTGAACAACCCCAACAAAGACTTTCAAACATGGTGGTTCAATCAAGAATGTTGTGCTAAGATCTGTCTTAGCAGTAAATGGCAGAATGAAATTAAAAGAAAAATAATAATAAAGAAACGAATGAGAAAACCCAGCACTATTTGGAGCTCCAAAACTAAGATGCATTTCACAACAGAAACATCATTAAAAGTCTAAACAAGTCACAGAAAGCTGGACTTTACATTTGTGACCTGGCATTTTTATACATTATAAAGTCTTTAACTGTTAAAACAATTGTTTCAGTTTATAACTTTTTGAAGGCTACCACAAATTGTTCAGCACAGAGTTATGATGTCACCAACTCCTGACCTGTTTATATTTTCCTTAAAGGTTTGCGAACGAGCCCCCTATTTTCATCCATCCATTATCTTTATCCGCTTCTTCCTTTCAGGGTCACAGGGGTCACTGGTGCCCATGTCCAGCAGTCACTGTGGAAGAGGCAGGGGACATCCTGGACAGGTCTCCAGTCCATCACAGGGACATAGAGACAAATGAGACAAACAACCATTCACTCTCTCTCTCTCTCACCTAGGGACAATTCAGAGTTACCAATCAGTCTAACATGCATGTTTTTGGTCTGTGGGAGGAAACTGGAGCACCTGGAGAAAACCCACGCAGAGAAAACACGAAAACTTTACACAGAAAGGCCCCTGGATGGGATTCGATCCAACAACATTCTTGTTGAGAGGCAGCAGCTCAACCAACTGGGCTGCTTTGCTGTCACCCCCCCCCCCCCCACACACACACACACACAACCCCAAATTTCCACATATTAAAAAAAAAATTATACAGTTTATGCAACAAAATGGGGGGCTGTTGCTGCTATAAGATTTAGCTTCCTCTCAATTTCTTGAAATATATTAAAAACTTGTCATTTCAAAACGTATTCTTTCCAAGGTGCCGAACAACTTCCACATTCCTAGTAAGTTTCTTTCTGCTGCTCCTGTCTTTAGGTGTCACCACAGTGAGCACAACCACATGAAGATCTGGCAGTTGTTTTATCCTGGATGCCTTCCTGATGCAACCTGGGCTCAAACCCACAACCTCAGGATTACAAGACTTTTTTGGTGTCAAAGTTTTGCTTAAGACCTGTAGACAGAGCCCATTACACCAGAAATTAACAAAAAAAAAAACCTCCCAAGGATGCCAGTGTCACTAGGTATTAACAGCATGCCTGAATAAAAAGGTTTTAAGACCGTCTCTAATATTTAAAAAGGACTGGCAGTCAGACATTAGTAGCTCCGACACATTCTGTATTGAAAGCAAAAGTCAGAAAAAACTGGATTGTGTTACAGGATCTGGATAGTGTGCCAAACATAACGGTGGTTATGGTGGTAACCTTCTTGGTGGTGTTTCATGGTATGAAAGTTCAGATTCAGACATGAGTCAGACCTACTTACATCTTTGACATGCTGGATCCTGCAAATTCTCTGAACCTGTCGGGACTAGGTGAAATCACAACAGACTCAGGAGCAGGTTTTGGGCCTCAGAGGAAGAAGATTTGCTCCTTCAGGCTGAAGGATACATGCCTCAAGTGCAGACAGAGGATTTGTGTAATCTGTACCTTAAGTGACATCAGACTGTTTGAGCTGTAACATTGGCTGCAGTCCACCATGAGTCCTCAGTGATTCAAAGATTCTAGGATTCAAGGTTCTTTACTTGCCATAAGCACCACATGTGGTACATGTGGTGGAACGAAATTGTGTACACAGGGTCCCAGTTACATCCAACTAAAGTATAAATTGTAAAATATCTTATTACTGTTTTTCTAAGATATGAACTAAGAAAAACGTTAAACTAAAAATACACTAAGCACTAGTAGAACAAAAATAATGTCGAACAGCAGCATGAAACAGATCAGCAGCAATATTGAAACAGATCAGCAGCAATATTGAAACAGATCAGCAGCAACATGAAACAGATCAGCAGCAACTAGAAACAGATCAGCAGCAACATGAAACGGATCAGCAGCAACATGATGTGATTTTTTCACAGTGATTATCCTGGTCAGAGATTCATAAGTCTAACAGCCTCAGGGTAGAAGCTGTTCCTCAGTCTAGTGGTTCTACACTTAATGCTTCTCAACCTCCTTCCTGAGGGGAGCGGGGCAAAAAGTGTGTGTGCTGGGTGAGTGTGGTCCTTCATGATGCAGGTGGCCCTCTTCCTGCATCTGGAGGTGTAGATGTCTGTGATGATGGGGAGACTGATTCCAACATCTTCTGTGCAGCCTTCACCACTCTCTGCAAAGCTTTTCTTTCTGCAGCTGTGCAGCCTCCATGCCACACATTGATGCTGGAGCACAGGATGCTCTCCACTGCACACCTGTAGAAGGAGGTGAGGACTGAGCTTCCAGACCAGCTCGTCTCAGCCGCCTGAGGAAGTAGAGTCTCTGATGAGCTTTCTTCATCAGGCTGGTGGTGTTGTTGCTCCAGCTGAGGTTGTCATTCATGTGTACACAAGTACTTGTAGCTGGAGACCACTTCCACCGCAGATCCTCCTATGTTTGGGGGTGGGGGGTAGGTGTGTTTTGTTCCTTCTGAAGTCTATGATCATCTCCTTCATCTTCTTCACATTGATGTGAAGGTTTTTCTTCCTGCACCAGCTCTCCAGGTGTTCCACCAGTGAACAACATTATCTGTGATTTATTCTGGTCCTCTGGACATTAAAAAAAAAAAAAAAAAAAACAAAGCAAAAAATATAGAAACGTTTCGTCTCTCATCCGAGAGACTTCCTCAGTCGTTCCGAGAGACTTCCTCAGTCGTTCCGAGAGACTTCCTCAGTCGTTTCTATATTTTTTTTGCTTTGTTTTGTTTTTTGTTTTTTTGAATGTCCAGAGGACCAGATTGAACTTTTTTGGATAAACCTAGTACCTTCTGGGAAAGTACCAAGTGACATTGTATTTATCAGGATGTATCCTGTACTTACTGGGTACACAAAAGGTGACAAGTGCTTTTATGTTTACAGCCAGGTCCTCATAAGTCCCCACTACTTACCAGGTAAGAACTAGATGCATATTGTCTGTACCAGGTACATACCTGGTACTCATGGGGGCATGGCTTTATTTTGAAGTAAGTTATTACCTTGTAAGTATAAAGTAAGTACCCAACATGTCCCAGTTACTTACCAGGTAAATACCTGGCTGTATTTTGCAGTGTTGCAATAATTGTTTTTGTATATCCAGAACTCTGGTTACAGTGAAACCGTATGAGGTTTGGCTTAACTGCACAGCTGGAACCCAAAGATTTTAAAGGGATGCCGTTTGTTTCATTTAATGTTTTTCATGCATGTTAAAATAATCAGAATTGTTAAAGCACACAGGGGATGAGTTTGTTTTGTGGCTGTCTGCTCAGGACAGATGGGGTGTCTGTCTCAGGCACCGTCTTTCTGAGCTCATAAGAAGATTATTGGGTTTGGACTGGACAACCTACAGACTCGCACTTCAGTTCACCTTTGTTGTTTTCTCTCTTTCTCATGTTTTTCCTCTGTAATCTTTCTAATGGACCAAATAGCTTCCAGGCAATTTGTTCAGCTGACTGAAACATGTGGGCATCAGATGACTGATTTTTTTATTTGTTTATTATACAGATGTAACAGTGTTTTTAATCTTCCTGCAGGGATCCAGAGAGCAGACAAACGGAGGAAACGACGCCAATAACTCTTCAAACATGGAGCAGCTGCTGGGAGGTACAGACATTTCCTCAGTAGTTTCAGGATCCATCAGTAATTCAGATTAGTTGTGATAATGTACGTGCTAACGTCCCATTCGTATCAAAACTACTGACGTATTAAACTCTTTAAACACGAGGCTGACATTTAAAGTAAAACCCATTGTTTAAACTAGTAAGAGCACAAAGGCCCTGTATTCCTCATGGGCTACATCTGACTCGTCGCCTTTCATGCTGGAGTTTTAGATCAAGATCATCTTCTAATGAGAACTGATGGAGGTACAGCTGTTTTGGTCAAACCTCAATGTCTGTTCCATTTAGTGATAGATCTTGTGAGTGAGAGTTCAACGTTTGCATTGAGGATGATTCTCAGGGCTCATTATATTTATAATTGACTGAACTATATTCATTTCTGCATTTGCTTTATTTGATTAGTAGTAGTGGCCATCTTGAATAGGATAGATTCAAAAAAATTAATCAGCTGCAAAGGTACATCCACTGATTACAGTACTTAGAGATTCATTACGATCTGTTTAGTGGTAAATGAGATGTTTTGTCATTAAACGCATGACTGCACACACATGCACTGACAACACGGACATGTGGTTGGTTATGAGCAGTGCTTAATTTGAGCGGTACCCTGTTCCAGGAACTCTCATTTTTACAGGGTGCGTTCCGGCAACTGTTTGCTTGAATCCGGCAACTCTCAGGCTTAAGTTATGTACATTTATGACTACCTTCTCATTTGGAGAGCCATGCTTGAATGGTGTCACTCCCCTCTGCTGCTGAGACAATAAATAAATGACGCCAACACCTCCTCTGTCCTCTGTTGCTGTTTTTTCATTCCGTATGTTGAGGGAGTATCAGAGAAACCGAGACGTTTATTTTCTAAACACAACGTCCCAGTGGCTTTTAAACCCCAAAATACATTAAAGACTGGTTCATCCCAAAGATCCAGTGCCCCGGCACAAACAGAGCAATGTTGTGTATGTTGTTCAGTGTCAGGAGGGTGATCAGTCTTACATCGGGGAAACTAAACAGCCACTGGCCAAAAGGATATTGAGCATGGACTTTGTTGTTAAAGAACAGATACATAAAAAATGTACTTAAGTATAGTAACAAAGTACTTGTACTTGGTTACATCCCACCACTGCCCACAGCATACATGCAACAAAGAGTAAACTCAAAGCGAGGGTGATATCTGCCCCCTTTTTCCTTTTCTCATTGACAAATTCTTTATTTTTTAGTTTGTCAAAGCACAAATTTGATGCGATTTTTTTTTTTTTCTTTTTTAAAATACAGAATTCAATTCAATTCAGTTTATTTATAAAGCGCCAAATCACAACAAAGTTGTCTCAGGGCACTTTACAGGAACATTCACATAAAAGCCAATTAGTAAAGTTCTCTAAGGAATCCAGCAGACAAGATGAATCTTGGCTTCGTTGCAGTCTCCCATCCTGAGCAAGCACAGAACTAATGTTTAATAAATGTTAGGAGTCTATTCTTTGCTAAAATAAATTTTATGTCATTAAACAACTTGTCAGGTTCTTCTCTTGTGAGCATGTGCCCCCCCCCCCCCCCCCCCCCAGCTGGCCCGCCTGCTTTTTGTGTTCCAGCATCGATCGCTTTACAAATGAAGTCCTGGTTATGAGTGAATGTGGCCAGTTAGTCGGTGAGACCTGATGTGTGTTTTTACTGTGCTCGTACGAGCAGTAAATGTGTTGCTCACAGTGTGAACTGTGCTCTGCAAAGAAATATAAAATTATATTAAACGTATTACCTGCTGTAAAAAGAGTTCAGTTCAAGTCTTAAAGTAGATGTTTTAGTTTGAGTGAATTTTATTCTGCTCGTCTTGTGGACAAACTCAAACTGGTGAGCCTACAACCCTGTGGATAAATGATTTTCTCCAGAAGTCCAAACCTTAGAGGACTGAACAAAAGATGCTGTGAGATCAGGACTCGGCTTCAGAGAGCACAGGGAAACATACCATCCTGCTTCCCTCCACACGCCTCCTGACCTCCATGTTCCTGTGTGCTGCCTGCAGCGCGCGCTGCAGCCAGTCTGAGTGAGGAGGGCCTGGAGAACTTCGGTGCTAACCGGGTTTAATCATGTAAAACATCAGGCTCACCAACAGTTCTGTAAACTGCAGAGCTGAGTGTGTTCTGCTTTTGGGCCTGACAAAACAAAACAAACAAACAAATAAATACCTTTTCTCTTCATACAGTCAGTGTTTGTATTTCTTGAACTTGTCCTGTCTGTGTTTGAACAGATGGAAGTCTTGCTGAGTCCACTCCTCTCCGGGACAGAATGGCCCTCTACCAAGCCGCCATCTCCAAACAGGAAGCTGCTGTGAGTGGAGCTTCAGCAGTTTTATTCTGTGCTTAAAACTTCAAGAACAACAAAAAAACCATGTGAAGTATTTCCTGTTTTCTCTGTTTCGTCTCTCAGAATGATGATGTGGACGGGTTCTGTGGGACACAAAAGGAGAATGTCCCGCCCTTCTCTGTGGACACGGTGAGCTTTAACTCTCGTTATGCCTTCGCTCTGTTTTACACAACTTCTCATTTCACATGTGGTTTGTTTGTGAGACCTGTCTGAACACATCTCTACTTGGTATTCAGTGGTTGTGTTGTTCTCTTTTTGTCTCATTCTTCAGAGTGCAGAGTGTGAACCAAACGTCAGGAGAGCTTTCACTTCAGACACCAATGGTATTTTATCCTTCAGGTTTAAATTGACATGAGATGATGTTAAACTGCAAAAATCAACATTAAGAGAACAATCTACAGTCATGGGGAAAGTAAAAGTACAGCCTCTTTCATTCAAAACAATCAGGACATAATCAAAATGATCTTTTTTTTATTTTTAACCAAGTTCTAACATCAATCAAATCTAACCTTGTGTGCCCACCTGAGTCCACCCCTGATACATTAGCTTGTTAAATAAATGTCCTGACTCTTCTTTTCAATGTAGCTTCAGTTCAGTGAAATGCTGTGGATGAACTGTAAGAACTGTTCAGAAACGGAAAGAAATCTGAGGCCTGTTCAGGCGTGACCTTTTCCAGGAGAAGTGCAACACCTTGAATCTGTTGCTGTTTGGGATCGTTGTTCTGCTGCATCATGACCCGTTTTTTTCATTCAACCTTTATTTAGACAGGTTAATCCCATTGAGCCTCGAGGACTCATTTACAAGAGAGTCCTGATTTCAACAAAGAATGATGACAACAACGGACAACAGCGACAGACAATTATAAAAAGTATCCTGATGCATGCTCAATAATCCAGGTAGAAAAATATAAAAAAGTTAAATCTGGTCCTCTGGACATTCAAAAAAAAAACAAAAAAAAAACAAAACAAAGCAAAACAAACGAACAAAAAAAATGTAGAAATGTTTCTTCTCTCATCCGAGAGACTTCCTCAGTCTGAGGTGCTGTATTCAGCTCAGTCTCTTAAATAGCACCTTCTCAGAGTGGATCAACCAGTTTTGCTGCTGACAACCAGAACCAGCTGATCACATGCTCAAGAAGGACCATCAGCCTAACAATGGATCATTAGCACCTGATGGCTGTTTACTGTTCACAGAGGGCTGAGTGATACTAGCAATCACAGCATTGTAAGAGGGGGACAGTTGAACCCAGAGGCTCCACCCCTGTTTAACGATGGACGATTTCTTTTCACAAAGATGGCCTCCTTTACTCCTCTCTCAAACCATCGTTCCTCTCTGTCCAGGATGTGCACATCTTCATCCCTGAAAGAGTGACCGCTGGCCTGGAGATGAGTGTAGACCGCAGAGTCATGACCTGATGATGTTGATCTTCTGTGCTGGTCCATCCTTTTGGCCAGTGGCTGTTTAGTTTCCCCGATGTAAGACTGATCACCCTCCTGACACTGAACAGCATACACAATATTACTCTGTTTGTGCCCGGGGACTGGATCTTTGGGATGAACCAGTCTTTGCCGTAATGTATTTTGGGGTTTAAAAGCCACTGGGACGTTATGTTTAGAAAATAAACGTCTCATTTTCTCTGATACTCCCTCAACATATGGAATGACCACTGGTCTGGGTCTGGGTTCCAGGGTCAAGTCCAAGACTCGACAACAAAACAAGTTTAACATACTAATAGCTCATCAACACCATCACTATTCCAATAACAACACATTCAGTGTAGGACAACACTCCAGTAGTCAATTACATGCCAGGGAGACAGAAAAGTGGGTGAAGAATTTATCTGACAGACAGCTCACCCAGCCAGAGACAGAGATTCTTGCCAGGGGACTGAACTTTGCGGTTGCACCAAGGACAATTCCTCTGGTGGAGATGATCACAGCTACTGAGTCAGCCATTAGCAACAACAAAATGAAAGAGGCTGAAGCAGAACAGCTCAGAATCAAAGTTTCAGCCTGCCTCAGCAATGCCAAACCACCACCTTCCAACATTAGTAGAGAGGAGAGGGATGCACTCACCACTCTTAACAAGGACAAAAACATCATCATTCTCCCAGCAGACAAAGGAAGGTGCACAGTGATTTTGAACCAGAAAGACTATCATGAGAAAGTTATGACACTCCTTAGTGACTTAACCACTTATGAACCTCTGAAAAGAGATCCAGGAAGTGGTTACAAGAAGAAATTGATAGATTGCCTGAAAATTTTGGAGCAGGACAAGGCTATTGACCGTTTTCTGTACCACAGACTGTACCCAGGGGAGGCCACACCTAGTCTGTATGGTTTACCTAAAATCCACAAACAAGGTGTACCTTTAAGACCTATTGTTAGCATGATTAACTCTGTCACTTACAATGTTTCCAAATATCTGGCGTCTGTACTCATCCCTTTAGTTGGCAGCTCAGAACACCACATACAG